TACTTAACAATCTTGACTAAAGATGGTACCTACAACTCGGAAATCCGCACACAGATTGCCGCAGCCATGGCAGTAATAGTCAAATTGACAAGAATGAGGAGGAGCAAAATCAGCTTTCAAATAAAGTACACACTAAAAATCTCTGCTCGTCTCGATTCTCCTACAGGGATGTGAATCGTGGACACTGTTGGCAGAAACAGAGAGAAGGATCCAATCGTTTGAGAACAAATGCATGAGAAAACTCCTTGGCATCTTTTGGGAACAAAAATCAATGGGATTGTGTAGAAAAATCTTGAAAGTTTTGTGAGTCACCAAGAACCTCTTCTCGCCACTGTCAAACGAAGAAAAATGGCGTGGTTTGGCACGTTAAAAGGTATAACACCCTGTGCAAGTCCATCATGCAAGGCATTGTCGGAGTTGGGCGTAGGAGAGAACACCAACGCAAAAACTGGTTGGACAATGTCAAACAATGGACATGTATGAATGTACCAGATTTGATAGACCGTTGTGGAAAAGTGTTTGGCATCTGCATTCTGACCCCCATTACGATTACAAAAGTCAAGGGGGTGATGATGATGATGATGATGATGATGATGATGATATCTATGATTACAAGGCACGACTGCCTGTGCATGACCATCATGCTAGGCACCATTGAAGATGGACGTAGGAGAGGACGCCAAACACAAAAACTGGTTGGACGATGTTAAACAATGGAAAGGTATGACTCTACCAGAATTGCTGATGGCTGCCGTTGATAGACCGTTGTGGAAAAGAGTTAGTGTGTCTTCTGTATTCGGATCCGCCCTACAATTACAAAAGTCAAGGGTATGATGATGATGATGATGATGATATCTATCTATCTATCTATCTATCTATCTATCTATCTATCTATCTATCTATCATTATGCAAAGTGCTGTTGAAGAAGTTACCGTAGGAGAGGACGCCAACGTAAAAACTGGTTGGACAATAAGGACAATGGAAAGGTATGACTCTACCAGAATCGCTTTTTTTTTCCGCCGTTGAGAGACCGTTGTTTTAAGGAAAAGTTAGTGTGGCTTCTGTTTCGGATCCCCAACCTACGATTACAAAAGTCAAGGGGATAATGGCGATAATGATGATGATGATGATGATGATTATCTATCTATCTATCTATCTATCTATCTATCTATCTATCTATCTATCTATCTATTATTACAAGACACGACAGCCTGTGCAAGACCATCATGCAAGGCACCGTTGATGGTGGACGTAGGAGAGGGCGCGAAAGAAAAAAAACTGTTTGGACAATGTCAAACAACGTACAGGTATGACTGTACCAAAACTGCTGATGGCTGCCGTCGATAGACCGTTGTGGAAAAGAGTTAGTGTGGCTTCTGTATTCGGATCCGCTCTACGATTACAAAAGTCAAGGGGATGATGATGATAATGACGATGATGATTTCAAGATATTTTTGCCTAATTCTTTTAAATATATCTGTTAAACTGAGATGTCAGTGTTATTTCAATATTTGCGTCATTCCATCGCGTCCTAAAATCTGGACACACAGACAATAATGTATGTACACAGATATAAACAAATGTTCGAGGACACGCTGTAATATTAATAACATTGATTATGAAAGACAGATCAAAGGTTTTGCAGGCTGGGGACTACAAACTAATACCTTGCTTCAATCTACTTTAAGAATTTCATGATCAGTGGAAGAAAAATAAAAATTCAAAAGGAACTTTCAAAAACTAAATACCATTTAGCTAATGTCAATGCCGTTAAGAAGAGTAAGATTTGGCAAATGTTAAAATCAGATTTATTGCTTTGCATATATTTATAAAGTCGGACAAAATGGTCCCTTGTTTGTAAGGTTCTCAAATGTCTTCAAATGTTTCGGTTTAGCGAACGAGGTAATTATTGAAATCTAATTTTATGCCTCACTGGAAACAAATTGGTACGCTGGGATTAAACATCTATATCTATCAATTAAAGTAGAATGTTCAAAAGCTAAGTGAAAATATCCAGACCTTAGCTGAGAAAAAAATAATAAATCAGACGATAACCTCAGCTCAATTCTGTTTCATTGGAAGGATGTTCTTTAGGTTTTACCTATTGTCTAATTCACATTGTTCTCTGAGTTTTTGAACAGGAATAAAGGTTTCTCTTTTGTTTTCTCTTGAAGATTGGGCTTAGTCCATCTAAAGTCTAAATCCAATCAATATTCATTAAAAGAAAAAAAATAAAATAAATTCTTAAATATTACTCACTGCCAGATTTGAATTATGACACTTTTTGTCCTCCATATTTTTTGACTGACCTTTCAACCACCTGATGAATATTCATGAATGTTCTCAAATTTAAATGTCTTCATAAACCAATGGCATCCTTGCTCTTGTATATAAACACGTGCAACAAAATAAATCCTACATTGCATTGATAAAATCCCTCAGAAGACGAAAAGCCTCGACTGAAAATAGTTTAAACTCTTGTCTATTTTTATTCATTTTTTTCTTTTAGAGATACAATCTATCTGAAAACAGACACACACACATATATATAAATATGAATATATATATATATATATATATATATATATATATATATATATATATATATATATATTCATATAAAAAATATCATATATATATATATATATATATATATATATATATATTTATATAAATTTAAAATTGTTCAACACCCACAAGAAATTAAACCAGGGATGACAAATTTTGTTTGTTCAAACTTTAAAACAAACCTTTCTGTATATGTGAGCAGTGTTTATTTAGCAAAATTTGTGTTACCTGAACATCATTGTTGAACAAAATTGAATTTTCAAATCCACGGCCAGGAAAACTCGTGGTTAATTCTAACACATATTATTGACGGCCTCCAAAGGTTACGTCTTAGACCCAATTTCGCCTCACAATGCTTGGGTCAACACGTAGTATGTTTTTCATAAACACTTTTCAATGGTGCCGAATAAATTCATATAAACTTAATAATAGCTTTGCCTGGCTCGTTAGGATTTATTCTCGTTTATCGCTCTGTTAGCGTATTGAGCACTCTACAAAATTAGTTCTTTTTTTCGTTTTTCTAAAAAGAAATTCTTTGGTCTAAGAACTTTTAAGCATTTCCAATTTAAATTGTCTTGTTCTGATGTTTTTAGTTCTTTCTTTTTTTTATTTCCAATTTTTCCTCAGTACCATTTGTCCTTTACATATCAATTTTTTGAGCTATCCGAGGTTTTTCCAAACAATATATATATATATATATATATATATATATATATATATATATATATACATTTACACACACACACACACACATACACACACACACACATACACACACATATATATATATATATATATATATATATATATATATATATATATATATATATATATAAAAGAAATATGTTATAGTGGTTCCAACGAGAGAAAAGTATGTATATTAAAAAGAAGAGAAGAGAGGTGCCGCAAACGTTTTTGTTTGTAATGTGGATTTACTTAGAAAAAAATATTATGCTTTGTTTTATATAATTTTACGACACGTGTTTCTGGTCTCGCGACCGTCTTCAGGTAAAAGTGGAGATTTCCACATATTATTAAAAATAATTAATTTTTTTTATGTTTGTTCAATTAAATATTCTCGATATGAGATATTCTCTGTTTGTGTGTTGGTAATCCGAATTTCTTTCTTGAATATATATATATATATATATATATATATATATATATATATATATATATATATATATATTTATACATACATTTTTTTTTGTATATATATATTTCACATCATTATGATATCTATTTGGTCTAAAGGCCTAGAAATATACAATATTTATATATATTATCAATATTATTATCAACGTTATTTTATATAATATATTTTATATGTTTATTTTATATAATATATTTTATATAATATATATTATTAATATATTATTTTATTATATTTACATTATATTATAAATATTATTATCGATTTTATTTTTTGTTGTTTTTTAATCTAAACCAGCGGTCGCCATTTTTTGAACTTTATGGACCACTAAATGTATAATTTCAAATTTATCGGACCACTAATTTGAATTTCGAAGAAAAAAAAATTATATATATGACATTTTTATTCATTTTTTTTATAGATACAAATATTTAAGTAAATGCTCTATTTATAATAAACATTTACCGGCCTGAATGTTCGAGAAATTCTCATAGAGAATATGTGCTCTCCGAAATGAGTCGAACCTGTATCCTTATACGGAACCGACATATAGCCTGACGTGCTTTTACCGATTGAGCCACAGAGGAGCCTTTCGGTTAGCAAGGTCGATTTTACTGTTTTTGAACAGTAATTTTTCATGATTTTCTCCCGTACATTCATATTTGCTCGATGCGTATCCAAATGTAAACAAATGACGTCACATATTAAAATGGACAAAAGTATATAATTATTTTAAGATTTATTTATCTATAAAAGAGGTTAAAACATAAAATTTGTCTTAAAATAATTGTCGGACTTGTATCCTGGATAATTTATATAATAATTATATAGATAGATCAATAAAAGAGAGAGAGATAAGAACAGAAAAAAATAAGGAAATAAGTGCAAAAATCATAAATTTAAAATAATTTTCGAGGATGTCCATCTATTTAAATAACTAATCCCCCATTGTAGTCGCCTCTTAGGCACATTTGTGTTTGTTCAACATCCACAGCCAGTGGTTTATAGTGTAACTATGCTGAGCGAACATTAGTTACTGGTTATCTAGCGTGATCAAAAATTTTGAACAATTTTTTAAAAAAATAATTCATTTCATTCACGATGACTTGTGACATCATGTTTATAAATTATAATAACAGATATAAATAATAGTTAGATATTTTAATACTACGAAAACTTCCTAATACAGACATGCATAGAGAAACGGATAGATATTTCTAACTATAAGCTAGGCTTAAGATAGATAGATAGATGATATGGATAGACTGATATAAAAGATTAGCAGATATGTTTTTGTTCGATTATCTGATTAAGATAGATAGATAGATAGATAGATATGAACAGCCTTCCTGAGAGATATGAACAGATAATAGATAGATAGATAGATAGATAGATATTGATATTTAAATACCATGAATTTTTAATGTCTGAGAGAAAAAAGAGAATTTATGAACAGACTGAGATAATAGATATGTCATAGATATTTTAGATAGATATATATATATAATATGAATATGAAAGAAAATATAGAGAATGTACAGACATCGATAGATAGATGATAGATATGTGCAGACTGAGAATTTTCTTGAGAGAGACTTATGAACAGACTGAGATAGATAGATATTTAGATAGATATTCCGATGAATTAAATCATATGAATAATGATAGAGAGAGAGAGAGAGAGATGAACAGACTGAGATAGATAGATAATAAAAATCTGCAATCAGGGATATTCTGTTTAATAATACATATGAACAGAATGATGAGGGAGAGAATTCAAGTTTGAATAAAATTCAACAGACGTCGATAAATAGATAGATAGATAGATAGATAAATAAATAAATACTCAAAAGATAGATAGATAGATAGATAGATAAATAGATAGATAGATAGATAGATAGATAATGAAACAGACTTATATATATAGATAGATAGATAATAGATAGATAGATAGATAGATTGATATTAGATAGATATCATAGACTAGATAGATAATTTATTAGATAGATATATAGATAGATAGAATAATGAACAGACTGTATATATCATTTATATAGATAGATATTAGATTGAAGATAAAATTTTTTTAGATAGATGGATAGATAGATAGATAAATAGATAGATAGATATGAAGAGACGTAATATGAAAATCTAATTAGATATGATTGATAGATAGATAGATAGATATCAACAGACTCAAATTAGATAGATAGATAGATTTACTAATGTGATATGAACAGAAATAGATAGATAGATATATAGATAGATAGATTGTTAGAATAGGAAATTGAAAGAAATGAAAATAAATAATCTTTTCTTTCGTTTCAATTTGTAAATGATTCCTCAATTCATTTGAAGAACAAAGCATCGCTTTTGAAAAATAAAACAAAACCAAAAAAAAAGTTGTACGTAAATATAAAAGTTCATATTGTATTTCTGTTCTTTTGATGTTCAATTTTTTGCTTCTAATCCACGATCCCCAACCCCTAAATTTTATATTTGGCCAATTTAAAGTCTTTTATGATGCCGTTGACCATACTGTTTCGAAATGGCTTTTAATTTTGTCGCCTTTTTGGAAGAATGGCTTTTCAACGTTCCCGCAATAAAAACGAAAAAAAAAAAATTTGATAGTTGAATTTTGAAAATTTGTTGAAGAAAAAAATTAATCATTTTTTACTTGATTTTTCGATGGATATAACGAGTCCTGAAATGGAATGGAAGCTTCCAAAGAATCAAGATTCAAAAAATGAATGCCATATATTCAAAAATAACAGAATAAAAATATCGACCTGCAATAAAAATGCAAGGTTTGCCGAGATGTTAAAAAAAATCGCTGCGTCTTTTCATTAGCCTCGACAATCCTTGAATGTTTATTTACCAAAACAAATGGCGGCAAAGATCTGACGAGACGTGTTTTTTTCAAATGGAAATTCCTTCGGCTAAATTTAAATTTTGTTCACTGAATAACGCGTCACACTGGCTTCTATATTCCACCGATCCTATTTTATCTAATTTTTAATCTAAATATATAGGCATTTTCTTGTAAAACGAATATACAGATACTACGCATTAATCCTGGTCTGTAAGCCGTGAAGTCTTTCTCCTTGTGACGTCAACGATTAAAATACCTTGCGTCTATGTCAATAGAGATCTTGTTTTTAATTGTTTTTTTTGTTTTTTTGCAAGGCGATAAACCCAATAACGCACAAAAAGATACTTCGAGTGAAAGAGAATGAAAAGACTTTATTAGGAACCCAATCCTAAACAGGAAACAAGGGATAACCCTCTACTCCTGTTCAAAACACTGAGGAGGTGTGTGAACCGGGCGATCTATTTTATATTCTGTATTATGAGTTGTTTTTTTTATGGTGAATTCAAGTTATGTGCCCTCACTGTTTTTATTCCAGTTCATAAGAGAATAATTACTGGAAGATTGTATAACGCCAGACATCTCAATGATTTCCCTATTTGCTTAATTTGAAATGAACCAATATTTAATTTCCTTCGTTTTTTTTTTCTTGTGCTGAAAAGGTTACTTCGTTAGACGACCAGATCAACAAAAAAACAAAAAAACAAAATGAGTTATTCATGTGAGACAAACTAATAGTTAAAAATCTAGATAGCCAACGTGTTTTACTTTTCGTATTAAAAATAGTTTTTTTAAGCGTTTCACCCCAAGCAAGGCGGGAAGCCACTGGCACGCAAGGGGTTACAGAGAGTTGGAGCGAAAGCAAATAGGAGTGATAGAGGAAAGGATGAAGAGAAGGATAGGGGATAGATCAAGGCATCTGGAGACGTCGATTGCCATTACATTTTAATAGTTGGGGATTATAGCTATCAGGAAAACAAGAAAAGGGGAGAGAGTTCCACAAGCGAGAGGTGCGAGACATGAAGCTATTGGACTAGAAGAGACGACTAGATTTAACAGTTTCGACAGTGAAAGGGTGAGAGAGATGCTAGCCTAGTTGAACGCTTAAATTCATGAAGTCTGGGAACAAGCGAAAACAGCTCGTCGGAGCAGTTACCGTAAAAGTATTTGGAAAAAAGACAGAGGGAGGCGACGGCACGTCTGTGAGAGAGCAGCTGCAAATGAGATGCCAGATCACGTCCGCAGTCGCTCTCTAATTTTCATAATTTTATATTGTTAATTTCAGTTGTTTTTCGCCATTATTTGACGACTATTCAGAGTGTCATATCGTGCGAGATAATGGTCAAAATCCAGTATCTTTTTGGTGAGACTGGAATGATCTTTCCAGGAGCCAGACCTGGGAGAATGTTATATGGAACCTATCCGTTCTCGGATTCAAACGAATACAGGGTATTGCATTTAGACCTGCAGGATTTGCCGGAGAATTGTCCGTGTTGAAGCTCCACTCTGGAATATATACCTGCATTTGCTTCCAGTCTTCCGCGTTTGGATATAATGGCAAAGCAGCAGGATTAAAAACTTAGGGTACTCCTTGCCCTGCATGGACTACTTTCCTGGGCTGTCAGGCTCCATCTACCCGAAGGTAATGGTTAAAAGAACTTTCAAAAAATAAAATATTTCGCTCATTCTACGGCTTTGAGCTGGACTTAGATGTCAGAGGCTATTTGAGACGTTTGCCATGGAAACATTTTATAGAGAGTGGAAGCTTGCCCACAATATCACTGCGGCTATGATAAACTTCGAAACATATATAAGGTACGAGACATTATTTTATATACATTACGTATTTTAGAAGCTCCCCAAAATTAACTAGGCTTAAACTTTTCGATTTTTGTGTGTTTACTTATATACGACTATTTCGTAATTTATTTTACCTTTTAGTGTTTTTGTTTTAGTTTAACTGAGGTTTTATTATTATTATTATTATTATTATTATTATTGTGTGTTATGTTTTCTGCTTTGTATCCTGTAGAGCCGATTCCAAACTATGGTTCTGAGGCCCCATAGGAGAATTGCGACTTAATTGATAGCACTTTTCTTAGTACATGAGATGTTCCTATTAGGACGATCTTCTAGGCAACGTGTATGTTAATGCTATTATTATTATTATTATTATTATCTCCTTGGATTACTGGCGTATACTCATTTCTCTCCGGGTCCTGACCAGAGATCTATTAAAGATTGGAATATTTTCATGATTATTAACAATTATTATTATTATTTTTTTTTTCTTTGATTTCTGGCGTTTGCACATTTCTTTCCGGGTCCCTTAAACATCCTTTTTTTTAAGGTTAGAAATGACATCATTGATCTTTCCACTGACAAAAAAAAAAAAAAAAATTACATAGATAAACCCTTCGTAAAGTATGGGCTGTACTTGTCAGAACAATTTTTTGTATCTCTGAGGCATGGACTTCTAGGAATCCCTTCAATTAGTCTACTGCAATCTTTTCCAACCAATCCTAGGGCTCCAACTACAACAGGGATTGTTGATGTTCCCATGTGCCACATTTTCGAGATGTTCTATTTCAAGGTCCTTGTATTTTTTAATGCTTTTTGAATATCTTCAAAGATACATTGCAGTCTGCAGGGACTGCCATATCAATAAGAAGGCACTTTTTTTGTTTGTGGTCTTTAATAACAATTTATTTTTATTATTATTATTATTATTATTAGTGTATGTCATGTTTCCAGCTTTGTTTCTTGTAATGCCGGGTTCAAATTATGGTCCTCAGGCCCTATAAGAGAATTGTCATTTAATTGATATTACATTTCTGTTGTGTATGATACACCTAATTTACATAAGCGGACTACCGACCATATAAATATGGGTTGGTACCGGAAGACGGGGAAGATAGTAGAGATTAAGAAATTGAATCCAGAGACTCTGCCCGACTGCGATTTAGTCAACCCATTATGCAGGAACAGTCTTCCCAAGAATATACCAAACTAACTGTAAATATTGTGTACCTATTCTTTGTTTCAATACATTTTGTTAACGTACATTTTGTGTTGTATTATTCCATGCTTATTTAAGCTTCAACAATTTCTTAGTTTATGGGATCTTATAAGTATTGTTTCTATATCTTCTGGGCAAAGGATATTTTGATGTTAATAAAATTGTCCATTCCTTTTCTCACGAGGCCCATTGCTTTTATTATTTTAAAGTCTCAGATTTCATTCCCCACATCCTGTTAATCTCGATCTCCAGGTCCTTGTTCTTCGAAAATTTCTCGATAATTTTAATGGGTGTTTCTCTCATATGTTACTCTTATATCAATAAACATAAACTCCCTGAATTTATTGTCTTTCATGAAAATATCAGGTCCTGTTGGCTTTTATTTCTCTGCCAGTTTGAATTGGAATGTCCCAGAGGATAGTTACAATGTTATTTCTGGTAAGTCCGTCTGGAATGAGAAAAACTTTACAGAGAACCAAAAACTTTTACTATTACTCATCTCAGAGATATATATAAATTATTTGAAAAAGAGAAAAATAGACATAAAAATCTTATACACAGCGGCCGAAATGAATGAATATGCCAATGAAGATGAGGATAACAGTTCGAATAATCTAAATAATTTAAGTAATCATAATGCATCATCTCAGAGATATAGACACATGTCGATATATCTATTTATATGTAAGCAAAAACAAAACCCTTCATATATAATAATAATAATAATAATAACAATAATAATATTTTTTTTACTTATATGTAAATAGACAATGAACTGGAAGATAGGACCGATTTCCTATTAAAAGAAAAAATATTAAATAAAATTTCAGAGTTTAGGTGGAGACGTTAGAAGTATAGATTTTTAATCCTAAAACCCAAATCAGTTAAACAAGAAACAAGATTAACCCACCATTTCTGTTCTAAAGACGGAAGCCGAGTGTTAACCTGAAGATAGACGATTATTATTATTAGATGAAGTAATATGGACCATTATTTATATTGTCTAGTGTTTCTTTCAACTTAATTTGAATTTCTTTTCGTCGCAAATCTTGAGACCAGAATTGTCGCGACTAGCCAGACCATTATTCTACGGCCCTTAATAAACAATTCGTAATATTATTTTGAATTTTATTAGTATTTGATGAAGCATTGTCGAGCATTATTCATTTTTGTCTAGTATTTCTTCCATCGTAATTTCAGTTCTAATAATATGCCCAGTCCAATGTTTAAACACAAGGAACAAAGGAATACTCGATTATCTGCCAGTTTTTAATAAGTGACTTCCATTTTGATCAAAACGTCAGTTGCCGACCGATATTTTTTTCTAAATTAATCTTTGGAATTTGTCGAAACTCAAACTTTACTTTGACACAGCATGTGCGTGTTTCAATCTAACGACACACGCCGATTTTTTAGCATGTTAGTGCTATGGCGATTTTTATTCACCAATGAAATTTTCTAAGAGTATCTTAGAATGCGC